TAAACTGCCCTCGAAATCTATTAGTTATACGTCACATTGTAAAGCCAAAATATATGTCGAATTAAGAGCCCTGTGTCCTCGTTTACTTGGTTTGTCTGGGTGCCAGTATTTCCTAATTGTCCTCTCTGAATTTAGTAACTTGGTCTCTCGTCATTATGGTGGCACTGAAGTCCTAATGAGTGGAATTGTTATCTGAAAGATGGCCCCCTTTTTCCCTGCTGCGAAAGCACATTAGATCCAGACAGCTCATTTCCATTCCCCCTGTCATCTCTCTAGAAATGACGTGCAGTGCTTGAAACTGTTTATTTCCAAATTCAGACCTCCTCCGCGGCAGCCATCGGCTTCAATTACCAGTTTTTCCTGAGCGGAGCCATCAGGCAGCCTGACACTGAGGTCCAACCTAATTCCCACCTTCTCCAAAGTCAAGAGCATAATGTGCAGATAAAAAAGGTGGAAAATAGCCTGCCACTCATTAGCATGCAGCGCTTGCCTGTTCATTTGCTTGCTGCGAATGAAAGTTCTGACACTCAGCGCCTTGTGCAATGCGAGAATAGTCCTCTTCAGACTGCCTCGTGTCCTTACTGCCATGGAAAGGTCATCGGCAGAGGTGTGCGATCACCAACCTGGCTTGCAGCTCTTCACTGGCCCACCTGGGAGAGGGGTTAGCCAGGGGTATTGATTCAGGGGGGACCTCATTACCTGCTGAATCAACATATTATTGCCATGTTTCACCCAGCCGAATTGTTTACAAGTGTCTTTAGCACGGGCAAAAGCCTGCTCTGCTGGGCCACGACCACATTCATTAGTCCCTGACCCCAGTGATTATGTGTTATCTGATACGCTGCTATCTGGCTTGGCCACATGACCAGGGCCACCGGCCTGCATCGGCCTGGGCCCATTACAATCCCTCTCTTTCTCTCTGTTTTCTCTCTCTGCCCCTCAATCCCTTTTTCCCTCTGTCTGTGCTCCCTATGAATGTATCCATTAGCCTGCTGATGTGTAAATTGTTTTCACCTGCACTGCGGGCAGATGGGGAGCAGTGTCTCTGTCGTGATTTCCTATGCATGAGCTTTCTAATCAGTCAGAGAGTAACATGATTCCCTTGCTCCTTGCTAGAAAAGGGTGAGCTTGCGCGAGCACGCACACATACATAGCATGAATGCACACACACGCACGCATGTTCTCACACTCACAATCTGCAATCAATATGCAAGGTGTGTTGTGGAGATATTGGTGCAGTGGCAGCGGTGACAGGGTTCATTATGTGAGCTTGCCTCACAACACTGTGATGGCTTAATACAGCAGAGAAGGCTGGGCCCTTGGCTGATCCTTGCCTCTGCCGATCCCAATGTCAGTTCAAACCTGAGGATAATTTGACCAGAAAGACTAAACCCTCATAAGCGCAGTGACATCCAGTTGCAGTGTCGACTGAGTGCGTGACCCTGTGAAGAGACATGGGAGAATATCCATCATACAAACAAATAAAGCGCTCCGTAATGCCTTAATGCGGATGTGACACAGGCCCTGTGGGCCTCTCCTAGAGGAGGTCAAATAGACCATCCAGGTGTGGATTGGCTCCTCGGATGAGAAGAGACGTGCTCATATAATGAGCTGTCTATTACTGGCTACTAACGGGGCAAACGATTGCAGATCCTGGTGTGTGTTTTCAAAAGCACAGATTCTAAGATCTAAATTGACTCATTGTTTCAACATTTTTTTTCAGTTTATATTTCTGAAACAATTTGCTGTTAGACATTAATGAACGTATACAATAGTATTTTCACCTCTGTACAATTTACCCTCTGCACAACATACGGTTCACTTGTACAGAGCCAGAGCTGGTGAACATACATGGAGGGGAATGGATACTGTCTCAACAACAATACCAGAGATCAGTTTAACCAAGCAGTCCCACTACAGGATCAAAAGCAAGCCCTGGCTTTCAGCAGTCTGACCCAAACATTCCATCCCAAATGAATCTTTTCTAACAACTGCACACATAGCTTTTTTTTGCTGCTGTGTACCACAGGGACCCTGCTTTTTGGTCAAACTCTAAGCACCCAGACCCCTGTCAAGCTTGGAGATAATTCTTTCCTTTCTGTCTCTCTTGCCCACTGACTGGACAAACATGCAACATGCAAGCATGTGAAAATATCATAAAAAGTCTAGATGGGACAAGTTATTGATGCCTTAATGAAAGTATAAACAAACGAAAGAGCGGAGAATGAATGAATCTACTTGGAAAACTACGAGATCACAAGACATGCATGCTCTAACAACAAGCCACTGTCATTAGACCTGTGAGCCTTTGTTCAACACCACAGTGGAGTTTTGTGCTCTCAGACAGCACTCGAGACTGCCCTGATGTTTATTCAAATAAACAACAAGTGCAGCATCATGGTGAATCTGATCTCTTCACTCGTTCTTAATGACAGAGGAGACAACATCTACAAGAATAAAAGAGAAAACTTAACAAATAAATTGCATAATATGTCTTAACACCACTCAGTACAGCCTCTTATACTGTTCAAATTCTGTGTAAGAAGAAAATAAAAATGAAAACACTGGAAACTCATTCCTCTCCATCCCTTTCTATTTTGTCAGCTTACTTTTCCATGAAATTATAAAGGGGATTTGTTGCAGCTTTTCATCCACTTGATAGCACTTAACTAATTGCAGTCCTCTCATCGACAAAACCGTACTCACAAAACATAGACACACAAATAAACTAAATGCAGGCATGCAGGAAGGTTTGTGTGCGCACAAAATAAAAAAGATTAGACTGTTATATTTTGTATCCTTTTTAAAACTTCATCAGACCTGTTTTTGAACAGATACTACTAATATCATCATCTGGCCACATTTAATCTTTTTAATATAACTTTGTGAAAATCAAACTACACCTGTGCCAACTACGAGTGCCTACTTTTTGAAATGATTATAAAAGCCCGGTCAAATCTCTTTCGCTAGAGGTATCAGCCAATTATAGAAACAAGTGACCATTGAATTAACACATGGAACTTGAAAGCTTTTGCACTCTGATGTAGAATGCTCCCCCGGAAAATATGTCAGACCTTAATTTGCAGTTTCACAGGGAGTCACCTGAGTTCTAGGCAAACAATGGACTTTAACTCAATGGAAACACAATGGCATTGTAACTGTTAAAATGTGTTGTTAAATGTCACAATTCTACTTCACCGTTTTTTAAATGCTATCCAGCCAGAGCTCTGAACGAATAACAAACGTTTAGACGAAGTTCATTTTAAACTTGCCACAATAGGCAACTCCTACGCCTTTTTCTTCATAGATGAGGATTTGCATTAACCCCAAACACTGTTCCAGTATCTAAGTGATAGTGAAAGGAGTGAAGGGAGGGCCATGAAAACTAGAGCTAAGGAAAAAAAAAAGCCACAAAAGACAGATAAACCCGACACCACAGAGAGGTGAGCCAACTGTTCCAAGTCTCTCACAAGGGGAGGAAGAAAAAGGGTGGAGGCGGAGAAGATAATTTAGCATTTGTGTAAGCTGTTTATCAAATTATTAACTGCACAGATGTTTCTGACTAGCTAGGGGCTGAACATGGGCTCTGCCAGGGAGGGGAACAAAGGTCTGACGGATTCTACGGTGATGTGCACTGAATATCAATTTAATTTACTAGCTGTTAATTCTCATGCAAATTGTGACCTCTGTTGGGGCATATCAATGGCCATACACATAGTATGTCTTCAGAAGAACAGCAGGCAGAAACAGTATATAAGCACTGTCTGTAACTAGCAGTAGAGAAAATAATATTTTCAGTATGGCCATTCAGTTTTTTAAGATCTGAAAAATGTATGCAAGGTGCTTTTTTGTTTTTACTGATAAACACTTATAAAGACTATACCGTCTCTATCATAAACCCTTTTTTTATTTTGCACTGTTCTATACACGAGGAAAAAAATATACTGTAGATAATTCACATTCAGGGAATGTTGTTAAAATATAGCTAAATAAGAACACAACATAAAAGAGGGTAATAGTTTTGGGACTCTATTGTTTTAAGCTTTTGTGTATGCTAAGTTATTACTTACCTATTCAACTTGTAGGGCACAAGTTTGTTTAGTGCGGGCTGATCGGTTTTAGGGATGTTCTTACTTCAGATGTAATCTCATCCATGGTCAATGACATCTCAAAAAGATCTCTGCCTAAAACACAAACACACATTAAGGGAGAGAAACACATACATCACACAGTTGACATGAGACTGTATGTACTTCAAATCATTATACTACAATCACCATGATCAGTGGACTATGGAGTTGCATGATTCTCAATTTTCTTCATCACCTCCAATGTCCAAATTGCATCATAGAGTGATACTGAAAAGGGTAGAGTAACATTAGAAAAGGACAACAAAACTCCCCAGCTACTCTGTAGAAAAAACAAACAAACAAACAAATGATGGTAGGCTACTGGAATTGGGAAAATTGCTTGATTAGGGTGTGATTTGGAGGGGGCTGTCAAGTTTCAAATCCTAGCAGTGATATACTAAGCAGTAATGTGTTCACCATGATCAAATGGCATGCAGCAGTTAAAACATGACATTACCAGAACTGTCAGTGGTGAACTTTGATAATGCTTGACAAGATCAGGAAATGATAAAACAGCCATCTGAGTAAATGAGACATCAATCTGTGTCTGGTAAAGCGGCAGAAGCTTATCAAATAAAGACAAAGAAAGTCAATTTGATGCCTGATATTTTGGTAGAGTAGAAACATGTGTCAGCTAATGAAAAGTGAAGTTCTGTTTCATAATGGATGGGCCAAATTTGACTTATTTTGACAATTTATGTGTCTAAGTTGATCCTATGGAGACGAGAAATGGTATTTGAGCACCAATAGTTTCAACCTTTTTGTATAAAACAGCAAAGGGGGCCTTGTAAATGAGTCAGTAACATTCGGAAATTTTCATTGGGTATTTTTTTTCCTACCCCACATTCAGTACAACTTTGGAGACAACACGACCATTTGGTGGTCGTAAGTAACACAAGTCTACTGTCAGCAGTCGGAAGAAGGACGGTAACAGCATCTGTGAGTGGAGCTCGCGGCTTAAAGGCACCACGTGTTCACTTTGTTTATCACCCGGGACTTCTGGGAAGCGGTACTCATGGTAACCAACGTAAACACCAGTCCTCCTCCTCCTCCTCCTCCTCCTCTACGGCGTCTCGGTTTTACAGTAGCGCAAAAACAGAGCAAAAAACGCAAGCATGGCTTTTAACGAGGACCAGTACTATAAGAAGATAGAAGCGATCCAACAAAACATGCACGAAAGGTGAGGTTTCCCTCTTTTTTGTAAACGGGGACAAGGCCTACTTAAACCACGGGTTTGAGTGGTGTTATCTACCGACTGGTGGTCTCCTTTGGCGGCTAGCTACATGGAGCTGTATGGAGATGCCGTATGGTGAGCTAGTGTATTAGCCCACGACGCTAGCTGTTGTTTAACAGGGATGTCGACACGGACCACTGTGAAGCTAGCCGGTTTACCCTTAAAAAGAAGGCGGGTGCATTTTGAAAAACGTCCCCAGATAGCTAATAAAAATTAATATGATTAACATTAAGCTAGAATCATAAGTACGCGAGAGCATCAGCGCGTGTGACATCAGTTAGCTTAGCAAAGCCGGAGAAACTGCAGTGTTGAGTGATAGCTGCCATGACTTCTGTGTGTGTGTGTGTGTGTGTGTGTGTGTGTGTGTGTGTGTGTGTGTGTGTGTGTGTGTGTGTGTGTGTGTGTGTGTGTGTACAGGGAGAAGCGGAGATTGGAGCTGGAGAAAGGACTGTTTGCCCACTCAAGATCCGACAAAAGAATGTAAGTTACAAAAGTCATCTCATAGAAGAAAGATCGAGACTAATTTTTATCCTTTTCATACGTGAAGCTTTAACTTGCATGTATGAAATTAAAAATATCCACAAATAAAAGTCGGAATTAATATTAAGAAAGTGAATCAACAAGTGTACTGTTTGTTTTCCCTGCACAGAAGGCCTTTACCATGTTTGTATTTTATATCTGTATTTAAAGAAAGTCATGTTACTTATGTTTTAGTCTTATCCTTTTATGTAAATAAAACACTCTTGTTCACGCATTTGGCAGGAATGATAGACCCTTTAATGCAGGTTGTGTAGATTGATTTGATTGTGAATTGATTGTCATAAATACAAACGAGCAATGTCTGAACCGGAAGGCTGAGCTTGATAGTAGAGTTGAGGATACAACTCAAATTTAAAATGCATTGTGCTTAACCTTTTCTTGTGTTAAGTCTAGCACTTTAGTTTTTTGACAATGGTCAAAGATAATATTTCCTTGGAATAATAGTTCTCCACCGCCTTCAGCTCACAGATAAGGTGTTCCAAACTGCGCAGTTATCTCAAGGAAATCTGTGACAGGGAGGCACGAGCGAAAATGAGAAACCTTGAGCTTCTGAAAGATATGGAGTGCATAGAAATTAGCATGAGGGAATATACTCCAGACCGTGGCCCCCTGCAACAACAGAAGGTATAGCAAACTCTCTCTCTCTCTCTCTCTCTCACACACACACACACACACACACACACACACACACACACACACACACACACACACACTATCTAATTTGTTCTATGGAGTTGTGATTCCTATGATGGTGCTGAATTAAAATCCTCGTAAACAAACACACTGCCCACTGATGTTGATCTAGGATCAGACAATTATACTCTTTTTCCGAAATTATTCATCAAAATTGATGACAGATTAATTTGTTTTAATTGTCTGTTTTTAAGGGGAAAAACACTGGTTTTTAGCAGGTTACCATTTGTACTGTGAATATGTGCGGGAATGTATATCTCGTGACGCATTGGTGTAATCATTTGCCTTGATGTCAGAAGTAATTTTAACACTGAGGAGAAATATTTGCAACTGCTTGATGTGACAATAGTAAACACTCAAAATGTGCAATTTATCACTACAAGCAAATGAACAAGCGAGAGAACAATGAGCCAGTCAGATTATCACTTAAAACTCAACGACAGCGCTTGACAGCTTAATATCAAATTAACAAAATTGGCTAATTATGACTCGCTGAGTTAATTGCCCAATATAGAGACTCTGAAGTGCTCCAGAGGTTTAGTCATTTTCTACCCTCAAGCAGTTGGTTTATTTCCTCTTTACACTTTTCAAGTCCTGCATGTTGTTATTGTTTTTGTCCTGTTTTCTTTGTTTCCATTGTATCAAGTCAGCTTGAATTTTCTGGTTTAACTCTGACTATTTGGTACCGAAAGAAAATCATTACTGTAAAATAGACAGCAAGTGAAGTAAGTTTTCATAAGCAGGTACTAAATGGACATATTCATGGCATTAAATGTGCATCATTTGTTTGCAAAAACAAAATACTCAAGTAAAAGAGTGTGTAAGAGTGTAAAAGAGTAAATGAGAATCCATCATACAATTAAAGAATTTATGAAAGCACCTTTTTATTTTTAGAAAAAGATTGATTTTCATGAACTCTCATTATTCTGATGAATAGGTATGGTACTTTTTAAGCTAATCCAAGAGCCTTAAAGAGGCCATTGGGCCTTTTTAATTGGAGTTTGAATTAAAGCAGTTTAGCCTGGCCAGCGAGATAAATGTTAAAGGGTGTCAGCAGCAACACAGAAGGCGCTCACTTGGGAAAACCTTTCATGACTGAGTTTGATTGACTGATGTTCAACATGTCACACTTGCTAAGCTACAATGTGATTTTATACCACATGCAGATAATGTTCAGCAACACTATCACAACATACAAATCCTGACAATCCATAATGCTATCTATCTATCTATCTATCTATCTATCTATCTATCTATCTATCTATCTATCTATCTATCTATCTATCTATCTATCTATCTATCTATCTATCTATCTATCTATCTATCTATCTATCTGTCAATCAATGTATCTATCTATCTGTTTATGTATCTACTCTTGTCTTTCATACAGGAAGAGTTTTCCAGAAAGATCTCCAAAATTGTAGGAGAGAGACAGAAAATCCAACAAGGGTCTGATGTGGAAAAGGTAATGCATATTTGTTTAATATAAAATTTGTGCTCCTAAAACTATAACACAAAGTATTTTGCAGAGGCACATCTGTTGAGTATTGTGTGACTCCTATCATGGTTGGTGACTATTTGTGAAATGTTTAAAAAAGGCACTTGTTCTTTTTTTTATGCTTCATCCATTTTTTTTTATGTTTACAAGGTTTATGTAAATCTCTGTTCTATCAAGCTGTGTTTTCAGGTTTAAAGTAACAAAGGAAAGTAGACATTATGCTCGGTAAATCTGTGGAGGAGTCTACATTTAAACTGTGTATCTGTAATAACACAGGTGTCTAATCCTAGCTGGTGCATCTGTACAAGCGATGTAGTTCAAGCCCATAGCTGCTTTCTCCCTTCACTTAAAGCAGTTAAAGCTCTTTTAGATGAAATGTCTAAGACATCTCATAATAACTTGGAGCATGCTGTCTAGAGCAGTCACTTGTAACTGTGTGCAAACCCCCCGTCAGCCTGTCGATATTGTAATGAGCAAAATGGTACCGTCACTCCATTATGCATACAAGCCATTGGCTGGCAGTGTGCATGTCCCTCAGGCTGCAGCATTCATTAAGGGAAGCTTACCGGGCTGAAAGCTGGAGACAGATGATAACGGGATATGATTTTCATATTTAATACATTCCTTGGAAGAGCACACGCGTGCCGCAGATTGATAGAAGAATCAATTGCTACTTTACTGAAACACTTTCTACTTTGCCCTGCAGCTACCGATGGAATCACTCAGCCAAGAAATTAACTTTTCCTCTTTTTTTACCTACTTTGTGGATCTGCTGGGCAGGCTGCATGGTTTACACTGAATGTTATTAAGCAGCTAACTGTTTGGTATTTAAGACGCTTATCAGAAAAGAAACAGAAGCCATGCTTTTTGTTATTATGTTTGGAGGGAGGCTTTTTTGCTTCACTCTTTCCCCCCCTTGGTGACATTGCAGACATGAATCAGAACTTGTCTAAAGGATTTCTAATAAGATGAAAAGTTAAAGCATTGATCTTTAGACATTCTTCTAAAAAATGTTGTAAAAAGTATTTTGACCTTGGCCCAGACTGATTTAGTTTTATAAAATTAAAGAGTGAGTTGGTAATGTGTCCAAATTAAATTATTTTGATATTCACCCTAAACAAGGAATTGTAAAATTCTGAATGATTCTTTATGCCAAGAAACGTATAACTATGATGAAGTCCTTAAAAGTTTACCTGTTAAACATAAGTTTATCAATAGATCCTGTATTTGCAGAAGGAAGCTGGACATCACCAGGGCAGCTCCTCTTTTCACTTGGCTAAAGATTTCACACGACCGCCAACAGTCATTTTTATGGGCCACCAGACCTCCAGAGGGTCTGACGCTGAAGCTGGCACCACAAGTGTACACTCACACCAAGTATTGCATCGTTCACCCAATCGCAGCATGCATCCCCGCGAACGTCTACCAAGTGGCCTTTTGAAGGACTTCAGAGTTGGAGGAGAGGAAGCCGCCAGCAACAGAGCACATTTATCAGATGACATTTCAGGCTCAAACGATTCCCCTGACGGCTGTAATTTGAGTGACAAACATGAAAGAACTACGCCGGTGCTCCCATCTGTTCCTGCCTTAACAGGCACAGCTGGCAACGTGCCTTTAGGAAGTGATGATGAACAAGAAGTATCACCTCCGATGACCTTGACAAGGACTGAGAAGAATCCCTCTCCCAGCAGCAGTAGCCCCATGAAGGATAGGAATTTTTCTGCAGAACATATGGAGTCTCAGGAGGTGCTTCATCAGATGACCACAATTGAACTAGGAGATCAAGGTCTTCAAACACCTCAAACCACTTTTGGAAAGGAAGCTGAGGATACACCAGGTTTGCAATACCATTCTTTCCTTTTTGCTATTAACATCTTGCATTTGTATTAAGCTGAATGATACTTTGCCCTGTGTTTACATTCAGGGAGGAGTGAGAGTGTCAGCACACCAAGCTCTGATGTACAGCTGTCAGAGAGCAGTGACAGTGACCTGTCCATCTCTCTGACACAATCGGAGCTGGAAGAGGATCCAGAAGAGGGTGTGGCATCTGACAGGAAGACCACCTCTGAAGGGAATGATGATCACAATCAACATAGTCCTGTATCATCTCTGCACTCTGAAGAGTGCGAGTACAAACCACAATCAAACTTTGCCTCATCAGCTTCCGAAGTGACCTTGGAAAGGTAATTTTTTTATTGTACTTTGTTTTGTGTTTTACTGTCAGTGCTTCAGTTGGAAAAACAATTACATTTTGATCACTTTGGGGCACTTTCTTTTCTTAAAAACACCCATTATGCAGTCAAACAAGCTGAGAAAAGACAATGTTCTGCAAAGCCATGCTAAACTTCAGCAGGCTGTTAATGATTGGAGTGACTGAAGACACAAATAGTCCTTTCCAGCATCACAACAGACAGCTGACAGAGAGGATTGTGGAAGTCACGATCCATGCCACCGTGCTCTCTGTAGCTCAGCGGCAGCTGCTGTGGTGGCAGTGATGCATCTTATAGGGAGAGCTCAGGACCTGTCACCAACAATATTGCCTTAATCCAAGATAATGCTGTAACAGAGCAATTTTCTGCTTGAGAGACCTCAGGAAGTCCCCAATGGAGGAGGAAATTTGTGGCACCATAGAGTGTTCTGGAGGGTGGGCATGTGGACAGCACTTACAGCCACAAATCCTTAGCGTGATGATGGCCTCTGAGTTGAAGGATCATTTTGGATGGGGATAGAGCCACAGAAAATCCCATGTGAATGTTTGCTCCCAAAGCCTCAGAATGTCCTTACAGTTTATGCTGTTTTATAAACTGGACCCCTCATGCTTCAAACCCCTGATTTTGAGCTTTTTTTCTGACCTTCTTCTCAGGGGCAGACCTGGTGTTTCATACATAGGTTATACTTTTTTATATTCATATAACTCATATAGGAAATTGAGTTCCTACTGCACATACATATGCTCAAAATGATGTTTTTAGAAGACTACAGGGTTCCTATGCAAGTATAGAAAGTATGGAAAAGTATAGAAATAAATTTGATCAGTTTCCAGGTCTTAAAAAGTATGGAAAATGAAAAATAAAGTATGGTAAAATATTGATGTTTCCAAATTACCACCACATTTATAAAAATACTGTTATCTAAAATAGAAAAGTAGGTATTTCCTACAATAATTCTAAAAAATAGGGTATCGAAAAGTATGGAAATTCCAACTGTGTAGGAACCCTGAGACAAGCAGTCATTCAACACGACCCACAAATATTAAGGACTTAATTGTTTAGATATGGTACTTCATTTATGACTTGAATGTTTATGTCTCAAAAGTAATATGGCAGGTTTTATTTTTCCTCTTAAATTGTAACATGTTTTGTTTGAGCTTGACTGTGCCTCTGTGTGGTCTACTATACTGTTTATTGCGTGACCTCAAGAGGAACTGCAGTTAGCCTGTGCGGGCAGACGACGGTGGGGGCTGCAGCTTTCATTGTTAACACGGAGGGCTCCTGTGTATGAGGAGAAAACCAGAGGCTTTGATGTACAGCTCAGAGAGCATTCAGTCTCTATCCTCTCCCTCTCTTTCTCTCTCTCTCTTAAGGTTAGAGTTTATATCGCTCCCTCCATTCAGCTCACAGTCAGGAAAAACAAGCCCAGGCAATTCATTATATTATCCCATTATATTTCTCCTCCAGCATGGCTGGGGCCAGTGAGAGTATACGCCTGAAATATCCTCCAGGTTTTTTCTTCGAAATTCAACATAATGGCCTCACTGTGTCCTGCTTTCAAATATGTCGTCCATGAACTGCATGATGGCCCGGCCCAATTGATGACAACATACCGTGCAATTAAAGTTCTTTAAAATCTAATACAAAACTTGAGAGAGATTTTTAAATAAGTAGGTTTTAAATTAATATAAACAGTTTGCAATGCCATCAGGAAACCCTGCTTTTTACTGAATCTTCTCATTGTATTTTTTTTTTTTTTTAATTCTAGCTCAAGCCAACTTATTGTTCATTTTTACAAAGTACTCTGCAAACTGAGTGCTAACAGAGAGTGGTTGATAATTCCCCTCGTTTATTCTGACTGTGCCTGCACTTAGTGGATTGTCATTACCTTTGCTATCCTTTTGTATTATTTTTTGCCATCTGTGCCAGCATAGGGAGATTCTCCTGACACCAATCAGTCCACACTGAAGCCAATCCCACGTGGTAAACCACCCCGGAGTTAGTACTTTACACTGTAGAGCAATATCGCTGCAGAGAGGCTGACCCCTTCCTTCTAGCTAACAATGTGCTCCTGATGATGTCGACGTGCAGACAACAGCAGCATCTAAAGTGAGGTTGGAGACCTTGACATGAAAGTCGGCAACAATACAATGAGAGAGAAAAAGATATAGAAAGAGAGGGGTTTTGCAGAAAAACAACTAATTCTCTCTCTAAAGGTCTCTGTTTTGAAGAAGATTGACAAATAAAGTGGAAAGTGAAAGATGACTATTTCAAGGCCCACACTGACGATAAGGGAAGAGAGAAAAAAAAAAAAAATAGAGCTTTTGCCTATGCTACTTCAGCCACACTGAAGAGGACTTAGCCCAGACGGATTGCACACTACAGAATGTCATGGATATAATTCAAGCTGCAGGCTTAATCAGGATGTTACCAGGAAACAACCTGCAAAAAAAAGGGAGCAATTGTTTGCTGACCCCTAACCCAGGAGCCCATTACAGATTGTCATAAATTCTTTTTGGCCTCTTTTATGTAGGGGGGCTCAGGATCTCTCGGCTTGGGGTTTCTGGGAGAATTCAATGAGGGCCACCCAGAGCTTAATTCTCAAGAAAGAGATGGATTCCCAATATCCACATGCATTAAGCATCCATTTCTCATTTTGCAGCTGCACACAGGACCAGATTAAAGTGTAAATCTCACACCAAAAGAAATCATCTTTCAGGAGCCTTTTTCTTACACTTTTTAATAGGAGATGCTCATAATGCTAGTGTTATTGTATTGTGAAAATTTTCTTTTAGAACATCCAGATGATATTTTACTAGGGTAGGTGTACAGTATGTTGCTGATTTAAAGTTTTATTTCAAAGCTCATAAACTGTTTTTAAATAGCATTTTCTCAAGCTCTCCATACAACCTGTCGTTACATGTGGCACCATCAGCAGACTCACTTTGAACCGCTGAAGTCCTGTATTGTATTGTGGCAGCAATGTAACAATCAGATTCCTCCAGCAGTCCTTGAGTACCCCAAGGGAATTGCCAAGAAAAATGTGTCATAGATTTTTTGATCAAATGGCATCTTCTTTTTACAAAAAGCAGACCTATCGATCATTTGGCCTCTCTTATTTTTATTTCCTTTTACCTCATTCATGGGTAATGTTTCTTTTAGTCTCTCCCAGGAAGGACTCTTTAATCTGCTAGACAACATCGAAGGACGACTCCATGGTGAACAGACCAGTCTGTATAGGGATTCTTTGATTGATACAAGACAACTCAATAGAATTATCAGGTATGCTCTTCTTGTCTCTCTACAAACTTTACAATGTCATCTCTTCCTGTCTAAGCTAAATGCTGTGTATATTTACTTAACGGCCATGGAGCAGTTTGTGCTGATGAGGAAAACATATTATCCTTCTGCCAAGGGCTCTCACTTTAGATGAAGTGTCATCAACAGCATGCACACATCTTTATTTCTGAGGGGTTTTCAAACACATGGGATTGTTATAGTAACCGTCCTGTTGAATTGTTAGTGGGAGTCAGGGAGATAGAGGATGGAGAATGCGTTTCATTAGTCAAGGCTTATTTTTTCGTAAGCCTTTTATATTTCATAGCATGATTAACTCACCATAATTGGACTTCTTGTTGTAAAGTAATGTGTGACAAAGTAATGTTCTCTCAGTCTTTTAAACCTTGTGTATTCTTACCCTGTTCTTGCAACATAAGTGCTTTAAAAGGTGTCAACAACATATTTAAAAGCAACAAAAAAAGAGAAGAATCGGCCATCCTCTGTCTTGACTCTTCGTTGAATTGTGCTGTGATAGTATGTCAGCAGGTGTGTGTGATTATAATCTACAGTGTGCATGTGCGTGTGTGTCAAGTGTTAGGAGTAGCTGGATATACCCCATGTGCTCCTGACCCACAGGCTGAGCACATGGCTCCATGGCAATAGCTGACAGCTCTCTATATATTGGACAGCCTTTGTAATGGCAGAGCGGACTTGAATGACGAGGACCTTGAAGCATGTGGAGCAGTCATCCTTCATGGGCTTCAGAGGTTGTCATGGAGCACAGCAAAAGGCTGCGTGCTCCCACAGAATCTCGTGAGTGCTCACCAGTCCTGCACAGACCCTAATGAAATAAGGTACGGCTTGTGGTTTCTCTGTTAATACGACACATGTCAGTTAGTTAGTTTGTTTGTTGTCCCTATTTATTGAAATTCATATTTACCAATTCTGTACATTTATGAAGCGCATTACGTAACAAACATTATTAATTCTGTTTATGTATTTCCATTTCTCTCAGTATAAAAATAATATAATAATAACGTTTATTTATATAGCACCTTACAACATCCGAAGAGATGAACAAAGTGCTTTACATAACAAATACACGGTCAAATACACAAATACAGGAAAAAGAAAATACATGACAAGTGACAAATATCTCATAATGAAACTCATTAAGGTTTTCTTTAACTAAAATCTTAGGTCAGCTTCGAGTCACAGAATAACAAAGTGCATTTCCTGAGATGCTGGAAAAAAAAAATCAGTTTTTTGTTTATAATGTTTTTTTTTATTTCGCAATCTAATATTGTCTATGTTTTGTGTCAATCTTGACATGTGTAATACATCCAGTAAACGCTGTTGAAAATGAGTAATTCAGAGAATAAATACCAACGCTCTGAAAGCTTTAAAGTTCAATAGACACTTCTTTTCTTTTCATGATCACGGTAAACAGACAAAGAATGGAGAGCTGCCTGTGCATTTTCCCCTTTCTTTTTTCGTTCCTGTTTTCTTTCCAGTTTGGCAGGGGCAAGCACTTCCAACAGTTGCTGAGATATTGCATGCCACCATTCGATACAGTCTCACTCGTCCGCAAATGTAAAGGTCATCTTCAGTGTCACCTCATGCAGTAACACTGCACGGGTGAATGTCATGAGTAAATTAAAATGCCCTATCTGTGACTTCCAGTCCTTTGGATAATGAGTAGTTATACTCTAAGCCAAATCCATGCTGTGCTTCACTACTCTATTGATTTCACCGAGGCCCCCGCTGCCATATACTCGATCCAAAGAAACACGTCTAGCAGTTATCTTCTCTTCCCTTGGGAGATGCTTCTGACCTTTTATTTAGTTTAACAACCAGAAGCAATATGACTATCTTTGTCATTTGAGTGTAAACTAGAATTCATTAATGATCACAGCCTTTTTGAAATGTACGACGATGGACTCTCAAGCTGCCTTTTGAGAGAAATCCTGTGACAAATGCGTTATTTCTAACTGTCTGAACTTGTAATCCACATACATTTTCTTGATGGTGAAAATATCTTTTATTGTCTCAAGGAAAAATAATCGACTTGTTTGTAGATTTCATTTGTATTCAATAAGAAAGCTCCTCTTTCTCTCCCAACAACGCCATCCCCACCCTCACCATAGTACCAGCCTCTCTCCTGATGCTGCTCGGCTGTGGGATCGCTGGTTCAAGCACGCCCTTCTGCTCAAGGAGCACCATGTCCTCAGCACTAAGCGCTTAGTCCAGCTGTTCACGCCGCTGTTGCTGGAGCGCCATGCCACTTACAGCCACCAGGTAGCGTTGGAGGCACACACACTGCAATGACATACACAAATAGGAGGTCACACACTTGTAGGCTCTGATATAGTAGGCAGACATTAGCAGACACGTAAACACAGCTGTAAAGTGACTCCTATTTTCTTCTGTCCATAGAGCCATTTAGTTATTTTTGGCATATTTTGGACAAGAAGTTGTAGTTGGTTCTCAGTTCTGTCTTTGTTTGTGGATTTTGATCCAAATGTGACACATTGATTCATAATATCACACACCGATATTCATAAAAGAGATACCTGACTCCATTGCTGATCACTGGTTATAGTCTCTGCTTAGCACCCGCTATCTTTTGTGGTGTATTCATCTCTTAAGAGCTTGCTTTTGATATGATATGAGCTAAAAGTACAGCCATTAGCTGGGTCTTAATCATTTATACCTTTATCTCTAAAGACAGCATTATCTTATGTTCAAGTCATCCTATAGATCATGACTTAGCAAATGAATATAATAAGAAATATTAAACAGAGGAAGCTTCAGCAAAAACCCAAGATTTTTTTTAAGTAAAAAGTTTCATAACATCCCCCTTTTCAATCATCAGATTGTTATTATTATTATTATTATTCTCGTCAAATTATCTTAATGGCGTTCTCGTGGCTCTGAGATCTCGCTCCGGTTTCTCCAGCGCAATGAGGGAGGCAAAGAGGACTACTGTAGAGCCTCTTGAAGATATGAACTGACAAAAGGAAGAGAGCCACTGCCATCTACATCATTGTGTCCAAGTGCATCAGGAAAAGCCTCAGTAAAAATGTTTGCCTCCCTTTATCTCTCTCACTCCATCTACTCCATCTATTTCTTTCCTCCGCTCTATTTCTCTTTCTCTGCGTCTATTTCTCTCCCTCTCTTTCCTCTCCGCCGGTTCATACAACAGCTTACTCTCTCTGCACACAAGAGCAAACAGAAATTTCCATTCACGTAATGCCACACAGCCTGGCTACCCTGACAAATGGGAGCATGCAGCTCGCATGCACACACTCAAAGAGGCCCTTTGAATATTCAAGTGCTAACAGTTGCATTCATTGATATTTAAAATGCAGTGGGTCTGCGAGAGCCCTCAACTTAGGGTACATTTGACTAAATCTAAAAAAAGAACAAAAAAGGATATCGGGGACAAGGATCAAGACAGTTTTTTATTGTGCTGCGCCATCAAATACCAAGTGGTAAGCTCAGATTGGCATGTGTTTGCCTCGATTCCCCTCAGGAAATGAAAGCATGCACATTGTCAATGTCTACTGTGACCTTCTGATAACAACTTACAATGTACTTAAAGTTTGTCGCCATCAAAATCCTCCTGATCATACCCTCCATATTAGTGCTCATTAAAAGTAGCAAATGGCCATCTGAGGCTGAGAGGCAGTCTTTGATCACAAAAGAGAGATGATGATGGCAGGATTTGATATGGGGGAGGGAAAAAAAGGAGTGAAAAGAAATCGGTGTGTGGCATCTCCCTGCTCCTCATCTCCCGGAACAGCTCCTCTTAATTGTGTATCCTCATCTCTCCAGAGATAAAAAATGAGCTGGAGAGGGAGGAAGAGAGCAGTTTGTCTCAGTTCTCTCAGCCAAGAGGGGCGATATCTGGAATGTGTTGCACATTAATGCCAGGGTGATTGCATTCTTTAGGCGCTTCTCTAATCTCATGGATGAGAAGAGAGGGAGAGAAGAAAAAAAAGTGCGATTGAGAGGGAGAGCGAAAGTGTGCGAAATAATCTTTTTTTTAGTTTAACGGAGTGAGAGAATTTGAAGTTATTTTCTCTTGGCGTTTGCACACGCACTACAGCTGCACCTCTGTGCGAGCAGCCGTGGCCAAAGTAAATGACTTGCCTAATCGGCGAGAGTTCAATTTAACACTTCCTTCACAAAATGGGAACAATTAAGAGTGTGGTTTTAATTTGTGCTGCTCGCAGGCCAAAGTGCTGCTGAGGACACTTGTGTCCCGGTCCAGTGAGGAGTGCCCCTCAGCAGAGGACGAGAGCGACTTGTCTTCTTCATGTGGTCCTCCTCCTCTTCTGGCTGATGGAAATGTGAAGCCCGCCAGGCCTGTGCAGAAGCAAGAAATCCAAGGTTACTGTCAATTGTTATTATCTTAGTTGGAGAGGAATAGGGATGGAAAAAAGTGATCAACTACAAATTTGAAAAAGACAACAAGTTAAAATGCAGTGTTTTGTTTATTGTTTATGGATGAATAACTGAATTTTCTAACAACCAAAAGTCTGTTTTGGTTTTGTCAGAGTTGCTGGCAGATTGCCTGAAACGTTCCAAACCAAGATGACACTGTCTTAACACAGTAACATGTAGCAAAACCATTAATAAGGACAAATGTAGCTTTTCTGAATCCACCTCAGCAAAGAACTAAAACTTCCCTTTTATGAAAGAAATCAATTTCACCATAGAGCTCTTTTTTTTATAAATCCCTCACAGCCCAGTTTTCATACAGCCCTCTATTCAGAGCTAAAGAAAGACCCCCCATTCCCATTTCTATCCCTAAACTCCCTTCCTCCCCGCCACTGCTTCTCACTATGCGCTTCCCTTTCTTACAGAACTACAAAGTACTGAAGAGGACAGCCAGGACGAAAGCCCTGTGGAAAGTGTTCCTATTAGAGGTAAAAAGGCATTGCCGGTGCCCCAGCATTCACACTGTCCTTATGTTGTGGTTTGTTTTCTTCCCTCTGCAGTGAATAATGGGCTCTTTTACGCAATGGCTGAGACAGGATGATCAAGGTGAATCCAGGGTCAAAGTCCCACCTGAAGAGCTGTGCTAGTTCCCTCTAATTATCTCCGAGAAAACACTAGCTATGTTTTCAGCCTGGTCTGAGGCATTGTGGCTAAATTGATAATTCTCTGGCCCCGGCATAATGCGGCTGCTTTAATTGTCAGGATGCCAGGGTGGGAAGCGCAAGAGATCTGTCATCGCCTCTCATTATCTTCTAAACAATGCTCCGGCAAGGCTGGACTTGAAAAAATACTAGATATGAAGGCATCCTGGAAGCAGTTGGTGTGCCCGCCCCTGAGCTGCACCTCTGAAATGTAAAGCAATGCTATATTACCCTTGGCTATCAGATTTCCTATGGGGCCTTTCATGTGTCTGCATCCCTAACGTGCACAGCCAGCAAAATCAGTCCAGTTTGCAATCGCTACACCTAATCAAAAGGGCCATGACCAAAAGAGGAAAAAAAAAAACATGACTTAAGGTTTTTTTAGGGAAAGGTTTTGCTGTGGTGAGCGACAGCAGTGTCAAAATCAAATACCATGACCTTGGAAATGATAGTAATTGCCACGACATGTGGGTCAGTATAGCTAATGGGGTTTTAGACTACATGTCCAGGCAATGGAGGTGTAAGAATAAAGGGGTGAATAACACTAGAAATTCTGATGCAATAAAGATGCCAAACAGTTCTTAATGAACTAAAGTTGAAATATCCGGACTCTGTCATAGAAGATCTACATTTTGTTCTATGGCACTCTTTCAGTGTAGTATATTTTTAGCAGCATCATTGAGACAGCAGCCCATTTATGATGCACTTCTGCTGTGTGTTGATTTTTGCCAGCACAGTCTCCGTGCTCTCTTTAAATATGATACCTACTTTAGTGTGCCGGAAAGTAATTATGAGTGTTTTCTAAACAGAAAATCACTCATTACCTTCCTGGTAGGGGACACTGAGATAACGTGAGATGTTGATTTCCCTCTCATGGAAACTGTTGATACTTAGTGTAGGCTTGAATCAACAGCTCAGCTGATTGAGCACAGTGTTTTCACCCACTCTGTTCAGCTGTGACCCAACAGACTCAGCCACTGAAGCGTGTTGTCTCATCAAACACAGAAACCCTCTCAAAGTTGGAAACCTGGGTTTTAAAAGCAAATATTTGACAGTGACTGTGTGTGTGTGTGTGTGTGTGTGTGTGTGTGTTTTCCTTGACAGAAACAAAAGCGTATCAGTTACTTAAACAATCAGCCATGCAGGAAAGGCCTCAGAGTTCTGAAGAGGACACCGACAGCCTCTCTGGTAAGAAATGTGGTTCACTAAACAAAGTAGTGAACACCTGCAGCCTGAATGTTTGGTCAACATTTGCCATATGCTCTCATGACATATAAGGACACCCTAGAAAGAACTTATTTGATGTGTATACAAAAGTTAGCATGTTAAAGCTCTTTGTCTCAAAGAATAACTCCTAAAATCTCAGCTATCAGGCTTGATCTTGTCATTTTTGGTGTTTTCATGATGCACAGTAGGTTCTCAAAGTAGTAGGGATGGATGATTAATTATCGTTCATGATTTATCATCATAAAATTCCTCCACGATAAATAATCGCCATCTCACAATAAATGCAAGTTGATGACGTAAGCACGTAGAACAGACTTGCAGCCGTAGCCCACATAGATCAGAATAACAAACAAACATAACCAAAGGTAGTGAAGCGGACGTCCCTGAGCAGCTTGTTGCTAAACGAGGCTCCACATGAGGGATTTCCTCAAAGATTGGGGCTTAGATGAGTGCAATCAGGTGTTCCTGACATAGGACAGTGAATCTGTTTACTCTTTGCAATAAGAGTTTTGAATAAATGTTGAAAGTAATTGTACATTCCACTAGTTTTGTCTATAACCTACCACTTAAACTTGTAGTTAAGTACCTTATTTGACTATGCCAACCACTAAGTGCCATCCAAGAACAATGATTGTGGGGTCAAAAACATAGATAGGAGGGCGCGCAGTTGGCCAAGTGGGTCAGCGCACCCCCATAAGTCGTCATGGGCTCAAATCCGGTCCCGACCATGTGCTGCATGTCCTCCCCCCTCTATCTCCCCATATTTCACTCTGTCTTGTCAATAAATAAAAGCCAAATAAATCACTGAATAAAATACTTAGAAAAAAAAAGAAATATTACTCTTTAAAAAAGAAAAAAAAACATAGATAGGAATTATAATATTGTTATCAGGACTTTTATTATGATTGGCAGAATGGCAAAATTTATTGTGATAAATTTTTTTGCCCATATCGCCCATTCCTACAAAGTAGATTACAGATAAATATAATATATACAGTAATATGAGTCCTCTCACATAACTGTGTTTGAACATCAAGACACCTCAACAACAATGAGAAGTCTGCTTCTTAGCCTGACCATAAGTTTCTCTATTAAAATGCATTGTTGATTAGCACCTGATGAGATGGTTTTATGGGGCTCTGTTTGCTCTTTTAAGGAATAAATCATGGCCATGAAGAGGACCTGGGGAGGGCCAAACGCTCCTCACATCAAGACCCTTACCCTCGGTAAGAACATTGTTATTATTCCACGGGCCACAGGAAATGGGCCACCAGACACCAAAGTGGTTGATGTACATTTGCATGGCTGCTCTAATAATTCCCTGTTCATTTCCATAAGATCAAGGGGGCGCCACCCATTAACTCGCTTACAAAGACAAAAGGCCCCTAAAGCCCCTCTCACTCACCGTTTGTTGGGTTCAGCCAGGTTTTGAAAATCAAAAGCGAAACAGTTACCTCAAAAAAATAAATTGGAGTCATAATCTTGCTGTCTTCAGGCTTGTTGTCAGAAGGCAAACAGATCATGTCAAGAAGAGAATCAGGACAACTGTTATGGAGGGAGGGGATTCAAGTGTTGACAAGGACAAATGTCCTTTCATTTTTCACCCTTGAAACACATTTAGGCTGCTCAAATCAGAAGCCTGAGTGGACTAGAAAGAAGATGTAATGATAAATAGCTTGGTGGAAACTAACACCATCACCGTTACATTTGAATATCAACACGACTTCATCAAATCTGCAATTGCATGTCGGGTCCTCAGAGCACCTCTTCACTGCAAACCCATTTGGGCTGTAGTAATGGCTGGGTAAACGTTATGAGGAATAATCTTCTCTGATTTCATGTGATTACTGGGCACCACGCTGACATGAGGGCTGAAGTCTGTATCTCTCTGGCCTGGCAAACGGCGCTCCCAGTCTGCCTATTAGCCCAGGGAAGGGCCTAATGGGCTGGCTCTATTGTGGCCCTCATAGCCGCTGATGTCTGCCACTGCCAGCCCCAGTGACCACCCTCTTTAATAAACATGAGCCAATTTCAGGCCCGGACCCTTTCAGATGGTGCCTGTCTCTCCATCATTAATGTGCATGTGAAGTCAGCAGTACATGTGATTAAACAGAATTTGAAAAGTCAAAACTTAGACAGAAACACTGAATGCTGCAAAAAACACAAGCAGTGTACCTAAGTCAAATTGAACAAATAGGTCGTTTTGCATGCCCGACACCTTGGTGTTAACTGGGTTAGGAGGGACGCAGTGGCGGGCATTTGGAGTAACCATGAGCATTATTCTTTCTTTGGTCCTATAATGATTCCCTCTGTCTTTTCTTTGCTTCTCCTGAACGCTTAGATTTAAGCATTCCACTTACTGCAGTCACTCCTTGCGCTTTATTGCTTCCACAAGTGGTCTGGAAGCCCTGCACTTAAGCAGAAGCATATAACACTGCAGCATGCTCCTGCCCTGCTTCCCTCTCTGTGTCTTACTCTCTCATTTTCTTGCCCTCACTCCATCTCTTTGCCCCTCTTTCTTTCTGTCTTCCTGCGCACCCCCTCTCCTCTCTATCCTACTTGTTAATTATTTGCTTTATTTTGTCAGCGAGCTGATGAGTGACATCAAAAGAAGGATGGAGCTGGACTCGAAATACAAAAATGGCTTCCTCTCTGTTGTCTTAGACAATAATTATGATTTGCCAGTTAAGCCCAGACTACAGCAGAGGGATTGTAGTTTAAAGCAGAGGCTTTGGTGCAAAAAATGCATTTATAGCCCTTTGTGAGGCTCCTCATTATGTGTGGGCCCGATTCATTAAGTAATTGGTTTGCAGTTGTTTACATGAGTATTAAGGCCTTCTATTCAGGGCCTTTGAGAGATACATTGTGCAAATGTTGCATGTTATGAATGCAGAATGAGAGGCGGGGGGCCAGTCCTATTGGCCAAACACTGCACTCGGCTGAAAAGCAAGAGAAAAGCACTGGGTGCTGCTTTGCATAGCAATGACTAGGGCCTTAATAAGCTTTACAGATTAAATACATGCAGTCTATACAAGATGCAAAGAGATACTCTTAACACATTTATATGTGCTCATTTCACTATTATGGCGTTGGAGAGAATTGGGCTCTTTCATATTCTTTTTTTTTCCTCTCACTCTCTCTTCCTTGCTCTCTCCCACACAGTGTTTTTCAGTCAGATACTTTTATAGAATGTGCTGTTTATTGTATTATAACTCGTGGGGAAGCGACTGATTTGTCCATTAGAAATCTTTTGCTGTCTTTGTGAGTGGCAAAGTAAAATCACTTTGTGGTTGAGTGGGGATGAAAGGAATAATGCACGAAGGAGTGAGTCTTAATAAGCAGCTGCACTCCATGTAAAGACCACTTGTTCCCCTTTGTATGCAAGTGCATGCCACTGCTTCCTCTCGTGCAAAGAATCATTGTGCTTCTTTCTAATGTAGGCATTTCAGATGCCACTCCTTTCTTATTTTTATTTTGGGTTTTCTAATACCTTTTTATTCCTCCCTGTTTTTGATCCCAATAAATGCTTGAAAACATGTGTGCACACACAAGGCAGCAGACATACACACATACACAAAATCCTGCAGCTATCAGCTGGTGTGGTGATTGTTGTGCCTAGTGCCTGCTTGACAAAAACCTTGACTCAACAATTAGTGGTTTACAGCTTTGCCTTGGACAACAGGATGTGCTCAAGCATTCGACCTCAAATCACTCAGAGTGTCAAAATCAGAAGCTCTCGCTCTCTCATGTTGGGAGGTGATGTGTGTAGATCTCTGACAGCTTGCTGGGAGGAGGAATGGAGGGGTGAGAGGGGCATGAGCTGAGAGAAAGAACCAGAGGGGAGGGGAAGTAAAAAAGGAGAGTGGGAGATAGAGGGAGACAGAGAGGCAGTAACAGACAAAGAGGTTGTAAAAGATGGAGGAGTGCTGTTCAAAACACAACATAGTGGAGAGGGAAACATTCAAAGGTTTATCAGACAATATCGTCATCCAAAGTGTAACTTACAAGGCTGTACATGTAGAATCAAGCAGATGAAAGCATTGAATCAGTTTAAAAAACAGGAAACTAACTTGTTTCTGTCATGTTTAAAAATATACCAGTTATTCTCTTTTTATTCCCTATGGACTAAAAAAATAAGACCTACAGCATAAATAAATAAAACCTTGACTAAATATGAGGTCAGCATTGAGAGGCACCAACCAGTGGAGGTCACTGTCCTACATAACCTGACCCAGAGCAGTAATACAGAGTTAAAATAAAGACATTAAAAAAATAAACATTTTCAAGTCTTTCAAAATTAGTTTTTTCAATAGTAATTTGGTGTTTGGATTTATTTTTAGAGTGCATACAGCAAAGTCACAGAAAATATTTTTCTAAACCAAAGTTAATGCATTCACAATACACTGTTCTAAGGCAAATATAGACAAAAAAAATTATAAATTGTTCAATTCAGAATTCTCAAATTTTTAAAAATGACTTTGTTGTTATAACTCATCAGTATTGCCCCCTCCCCATTCCTCAGTCTGTGTTATTAATATTCCCCACACAAGCTAGCAAGTGTGCATCATGACACCCCAAAATCTGTAACCCCAGACAAACAATTGATTGTTCTCCTACACCGGTCTTTACTGGACTGTCACCAGTCAGTTGGAGCGTGTGCTGTGTTTAAATCATTAGCCCAATACCTCCCCTGAGTTGCAGTTCTCACTCGCTGCCAGCAGAGAGCACTCACATGTTGGAGAGTGCCCACTCAGAATGCACTCACAATTCCCTCTCACTGTTTGCCCCCACTGAGGGCTATATCCTGCTACCATTCAGGCCTGTTAGAGTACATCTAAACGGAGCCTAAACAATGTTTCTGTGGGGTCATAGCTGGGATGAGAGTAGGAGTTGATGGGAATGATGAGGTGATGGGTCTCCCTTTACCTTTAGACAAGCACTGCTGCGCAAAAGTGCTATTGTGCTATTAGCATTTCTGTGTGGGTGGCAGGAGCTTAAAAAAAGCCAGGGTAAATAAAAGCAATTTTCTACCAATCAGTATGTGCAAGGCATTATTTAATGCTTGGTAAGCATTATTTTCCCTGACAGTTCTCACATTACCAAACACGACAGGGAGATTTGGGGTTGAATCCATCTTAAAGAAACCGTATTAACCTGACCAGGTAATGTATTTAACTTACGTGAAAGCACTGTATGTTTACGAGGAATATGTGTAGACAAAGTTGCTATAAAACTCTATGTATTCTTCTGAAATGGACTTAAATCCAGTAGAAATTTTCTGTCACATTCAAGTATACTTCGAAAAAGGTGATCATCTTAAAAACATGAAAAGGTGTAGTTCATGTGGAAAAAAAAAAAGACTTCAGTCATCTTGACTGCCCACTCTGTTCATATATAAAATTTAAAGTAGCTGTGTGGAAGTTTTTGTGTTTTTATTTTCTCTACAGAAGGATTTTCAAAGTTAACAAAAAGAGGCAGACAGGATGCTGCTTGGACTGGAATAAATTCTCACATAGATGGGAAGTGAAGAGTAAACAGATCTTACAACGAATTTATTAGTCTTAAAAAGGACCTTCAAATCCAGTCCAATTACGTTAGCCGAATGACATAGTTCACTTTTTTCACTATTTCCTCCTTGTTAAAAATAAACCTTCAAATATCAGTTTACACAGTTTTTACTATGCTTCACAAAGCTGAATTTCCTTTCCAAATGTTGTAATGTGTTTAAACTCCATCATACAATTTCAAAGGTCAAAGTTGCAGACTCAGATCTGCGAAGCGTACACAAAAACCGTGAGCACATGAGGCAAACAACAATATAAAACAACTGCAAAGGACGGGAGAAGAATGAGGAAAGCAGTGGAAATAAGTGGACATAACGATAGCTGTAATTTACATCACTTTACACATTATATTCACCTCTATCTACCAGAGGCTGTCAAACACAAGCCAGCCCAGTCTTACATATTCAGATCATTGCCTCAATTAAGGGAAACTCAGCAGAAGATGAACTGGCATAAATGTTTATGGAAACGGAATATTAGATTGGTGGGGTCAGACCCAGACTGGGCTCTCTGTGGTAATAGCCCTGTCTTGAAATCAGTCCTGTCCCCCTGTGAAGTGGAACAGCTGATAGACCATTCCCATTCTGTGGGGGAGTTCAAGAAAAGAAAAGCCTAATTTACTCTCTGTTACAGCTATTACAGCAGCAAGGGAGAGGAAGTCATCTTATACATTATTTCTGTGTTTTTGCTGCGGCAAGTTCCGCTCAAGATCTGTTTCCTAACTGTTTGAAATGGATGCACAAGTCCTTGTGGTTTAGTTGTGTTTAATAATGAGCTCTTTATCTCTGAAGCTGTGTATAGAGATGAGTCTGAACAGCAGCTGGATGACTACGTAAAGTCCTGCATAACAGTCTATACTTTGTGTCCAAAATTTATGAGAAAGACAACATCGTGATGTTTTTGTATCCTAGTCTTTATAGAAATAAATCACTGCAGGTGTTAATTATGCCAAAAACATTGCATTTTGATATTTTGATTTTATCCTCACATTTCAGGTATTTTGGTTAACACCTCCTCTTAACAAAAGACTGTTCTTACATGATCAGAGCATGACAAAACTTTAAGGATTCATCACTCAGTCTCACCAGTAGCAGTAACTCATGCGAAAAAGGATTTGTTTACAGGTATATTTTGATTACATTTATTTTGTACATGAACAACTGTAGATCTAGTAATGATCTTAGCAAGTATTTGCTCTTTCTACACATAGATATATGAGAAAGTGTCCTAAATGAACCCTTATTTTTAACTCTAAAACGTTTCCATGTCTGTTCTCTGCATTTATCAAAATCTTTGAAGACATGATTACAAACGTTATAAAATACTCTCATTTTGGGAGACAAAATGCCACATTTTGACAATCTTACATGTTATACACCTTCAGCTTGCAATCTGATTGTCACTGAATCTTTTACCTATTTTTTAAATCTAATTTAAAATGATTAATTTGACAGCTTTGGGATTTAAAAAGATGCAAGAATCATTCAAATGTCCTTTAGGAAGTCCTGCCCATATTCACGTATGAAGGTTATATTCTAATGATTATAGTGGCTGTATGTTATAGTGTATTCCCCACAAAGCAATCTGCTCACAGTTAAGAATGGGAGCTGCATCCCTATTCACTCATTGTGCCTTGAGTGGTGCAAAGCAGCAATATATAGTTTGGAAGATAGCAATTGGAACACAGCCAGAGTAATTTGGTCCTTACACTCAATGTACAGTCACATGTGCCAAGATTTAGCTGAGCGCGAGATGAGGAGATGAGGGTGATTGAGAGGATGACAGTCAAAGAGGTCATGGGTTTGAATTGATGCAGATGGAGGGAGCACAGCGTACAACAGTTTTTTGCAAGAGCTCATCTGCTTAAAACTGCTTCTTTTTTCTCCCTGTTTCTAAGAGAAGCATCAACACAGCATGGACATAGAAGGTCCAAACAAATAAGCCATATGGATATGTATGCTAACCTGGGAGATGATGAGGCTATATTGTGGTGTTGTGAATAGGCTCTGTGATGATGTAAATTAAAGAGGAGGCCTTTAAAAGTGGAACAGGAGGGCCTTATTGCATATGCATTGGGGTAGATCAAAGCCTTTCTAGAGGTCACACATTTACATAGCGATATCACCACAGCTATGGGAACCTGGCAACCCCGTCTCAGGACTATTTTTGTAAAAAAAGACGGCCTTGTTGGAGTCCTTTGGCACAATAAGAACAGGAGTCAAGGAAGTCCCCTTTGCAGAACCGTCTGCCTGCCTTTTTTTCCCTTTTAAGCGATTTTTATTGAGAAATATTGACGTTTCTTGTTAAAGAAAGCCTGAGGTATGAACTTTACAAGGCTAATGACTGTTTTTGTGTTTCCAGAAAGGAGAAGACTCCCTCAAAGGCTTTTTCTGCGCTCCAATCAAAAGGTGAGTAAAGACAGTCATCCCAATTGCATGTAAAGGCGCAGTGTCAAAAAAAAAAACTTAATTACACCAAACAGATCAACATAAAGAGGTTCATGTGTTAACACGTGTAGAAATGTATTACAGATTTTGTGCCTCACAAGAAAACCAACCCGGTGATTAAATTACTCTTTAAGTGCTGCCATCCCTTTGAGGTTGCGTAAATGAAAAAATAGCCTTGAAGCCAAGTCCAGGTTACCAAAGGCTTGGATTAAAGTTAACGGCAAACACTACTTAATCTTCTTACACATAAATTCCCATTTTGAGGAATTAATGTGCAATTTCTGTCGATCCCTGTCGATCAAACTTTTAAGCAAAAGCTAAAGAAATGTTGCGCAACTTGAGTGCTTTAGATAATTCCATGGAAGAGTTGGTTTGACTCTATAGGTGAACAACAAAACCTATCCTGTTGTTTCAATGACTTTTGACAAACTTGTTTTTAAATGTAACAGTACAACCGACACGAGGACCTTTTCATGTTAGTGTAGAGGAGTAAAAACAGACATCCCTGACATTTCAATGGACTTAAGCTGCCAGTACACTCAACAGGCCTCTGAATATGGCTTTAGCAGTCATATTCGGGCACTTCTATCATATCCCAGTTTAGTTTGTTCCAGCTGTTTTCAGGTCAAGAGAGGACATTCTATCAACATGAAGAAGAGAGTGAACCTACGTAAAATAATTAAAAGATAGAATGCTAAAATTTGTTGTTAATTCCAGCTCAAGGTTGGTGCGTTTAATTGTGGTATGCATATGAAGAGACTGATGAATTGACTGGATAAGGAAATTATGTAGACAGTTTAAAAGGTTACACTTCAATGAGCAACAGAAGGATACACACTCCACTATGATAATGAAATCTAGTATTTTTTCCTCTCTTTTCGTTTTTGTACAGCTTTCTGGGGGGAATCAGATGAGAGCAACTCAGACATTGAAGCAGCCCTGTGTCCTCGACCCTTCAACACAAACAACAATGACACTGACAACATCTCTGACTGAGATTTTCCTGCAGATAATTTTTAAATGCTCTACATTATATCACTGCACAATTCAAGGCAGTTTAGCTCACAGTAATTCACCTCCTGACCTTTATTTTAGTGGTCTGCAATGTAAATCATATGCACAGTGTATCGTAAAAACAAATAATAAAGTTGACAGCTCTCACACTGGGTAAAGTACATGAAGAGTTGTCCAACACTCTGATGTTAACCCTGCTTCAGTCTCTTTATCTGAACAACTCTCCCGACTCATAATAACAGCTCGAAATAGATTAAACTGATCTTTTAAAGCGATTTGTTTGCACTAGGCTGGAAATCATGCATTTTGAATGCTGCAAGCATCTCAGAGTGCTCTACCTCCAGCATGCTCGAGTGTAATGATGTGAGTCACCTGTGAAATGACAAAGCACAATGGCCACTCTGCACGCTGCTGCGCGACCTGTGAACCTGCTGAAGAGGCCCATCTCCCAGGGCACAAAGTGTTGTAGCGCTAACAAACTCCGAATATTTAGATCCTCCAACCAGTGTTCTGCGTAAATCCTTTTCACAGCTACATCTTTAATAACTATGCTTGAGCTGCAGAAACACAAAGATGTATGAGTTCTTATCTGTGTTGAGCAAATGAGTCACGAGTAGCAGATATGTTGCTGAAGGCACAAAATAGTCTACTGCAATTTATGATTTTGCAGCACGCTGAATGGTCTGTGTCTATTAATAACTCAGAGCTACTGTGTGGGAGGTTACATTCCCAAGTTTACATTTATAGTTTATTATGTCTGCAGTGTAAATTTCCAAAACTGCCATTCCTGGATGTGGTAAAAGCCCCTGGCATTCAGTGTCAGCAGGATTCCATTAGTCAGCTGTAGGTGACTTTACATGCCTGAACCTTTTAAAGTAGGACTCCACATTCATTACCAATAATGGCTTCAGACAGCCCTGACCCACCACAGAAAAGGGACTGTGGCAGAGTAATTTGGAGTTAGCTAAAAGGCTCCCTAACATAATATCCATGTTAAGGAGCATGTCAACAGATACTTGTGTGCGACAGATGGCCTGTGGTGGAAGTGGAGTTATATTGTGTTAATGTGTACTAACACAATAACATTTTTTAAAAAGAACTTCTCTGATTTTGTGTCAGGGAGATGATGAGGATGATATTCAGTTCATTCTTTTAAGAGCCTGTGTAGCCACACTGCCATTACAGGACACGTGAGGTTTTATCTTGCAGTTAAAGGGTGTAATCTGTGCAGTGAGTGACTCTATTAGAATTAAAAATGATGCCACATTACTTGATCTATCAATTCCAGGTTTACATCGGACAGGGCTCTTTAACTCTTCCAGCAGATGTAGGTTGTCAAGACAGGAAGAGGATGGATGAAATGTTTTTTTCTCTGTATGATAGTCCTGAATAAACATTTATTTTGAAATTAGGAATGATTTTCTATAGTATTTCTCATGAACACTTTGTTGGATGTTTTCTACTACAAAAAAAAAAAGAAAGGAAATATTTTCAAACACATTAAACACATGGGAACTCCAAGAAAGGTGTAAAAGGAGCTTCACCTTGAATATATGCAATACCTTCACTTTGGATATTATAAATGTTGAGACTCTGTATATCTGTACATTCTACTGCATGTGTGACATACTTATTCACATGCTTGAAAATTACATGAAAAGTAAATTAAAAAAAAAATACATTTTTCACAAGACACCACAGAGAGATTTTTGATGCCTAAGCTACAAGGTGAGTGGGCAGTCAATAAATCGAGTGTATTTATGTAACGCTCTTTTATCTTGTCTCAGATAGTTTCACATTTCATTCCACATTCATCCTTTCATAGCACATCCCCATGGTGCTTCTATGTAAGCACTCGTTGGTATTGACTTAAACCATTCAGACATCCCTGGCACAGCCACCAGGGTGAGTTTTGAGGTCAAGCGTCTTGCCCAAGGATACTTTCTGTGGACAGCAGGACCTGGGACTGAACCCTCAATCTGCTCATTGATGGACAGCACACTCTACCACTGAGCCACAGCTGCCTGCCCCTGTTTTTTTTTTTTTTATGTGGTCTAGCACACAGATGTACTCACACTCATGTTTACCAGACCACCTACATTGGAGGTGGATGTAAAATTTGAAGGCCGAACAGCACGAGGAAGACTTTCATATTTGTTCATCATTATTTACTTTACTCTGTACTCGTCTGTGTCCCTCTGCTTTTCTTATCACTCAATCATGGGAATTTATTCTTGAAAGTTTCCACAAAGCAGGCTTCACCATGACTTCTGTGAACCAAACACCTGCCACTGCCAAACATGAAATCTGTTCTCTCTGCTCCATCAGTGTGTAGATCACAGCAGCACTCGCCCACCCCACGGCCTTCTCTCATTGTCAGTGTTGAGTTTTAGTTTTGCAGAAGTTCACCCTGCATCCCTTCACCACCGCCATTACCTCTAATGTTGCATATTAAACTTCTTCTAAATCGTACAAAATAAATAATCGTTCTTCCATGAGTAACTAAAATTTAAGTCGACATTAACATTTCTTGAAATGCTTCACATCCTTTCTGAAATTGGACTAGACGATGAAATATTTGGGAACGAGGGTGTAGAATCTGAAATTTCTTAGGTTCAAGGTTTTATCTCTTTATCTGATGTGTCAAAAATTATGATTTGGGTATACTTGATCACAATAACAACATGTTAGCCAAAGTGTTACATCCAAAGATTTTCACCATGAACGCAAAGTGCAAGGAGACTGCTTAACGGCGGGAATATATCCTATTCAAGTGAGTATAAGCACAATAGTTAGAATGCCATAAACAGAACATCAGAGGCAAAGTGTTCAATTCACATTCTCTGTCCTTGAGGAGCTATTTTGTGAAATATTTCTTTGAAAGTAACTGCATATCAGGAGGTGCTCAGGTTTGTAGAGAAAAAATGGTTTCTTCAATGTCCTCCCCAATTTGGCTGTGGATCAATAGTAGTTTGTTGCTGGAGGATTATGTTTCACTCTAAGTTCTTGAACTCAATGCATCCCTGTTTCCAATATGACTTATTCTTCAGCTGGCTCATAAAGCTCAATATCCAGCATATGTTATAAAGGTCATGTTTTGATGGCATGATGTGTTATTAAATGTACAATCTCTGCAAAAGTAGCCAAATGACTGTGACAACACAGCAGGAAACATTTCAGGACTGATTAAAGATGAAAACAGCTAACTGCATAGTACTTGCTCTCTGGATTAAATGATGATCGAACGGTGATACAATGCACTTGGCTTCCAGTATGTAGCATAGAAACAGTATCCAATGTCTGTTATGAACTGTTTTAGTGAGTCTGCCACAACATCTTTATTGATATCTTCGATATTTCACAGTTAAAGTAGATTTTTGTTACCAAGTTCATGGTTTAGAGGATTTCTTGTGGTTCCGTCATGGAAAAATAGATTCTTCTACCTCTGTGTCTCAAAGAAACACTTTTCTACGGTGGCCCTGAGGTGCAAAACACAACGGCAAATCAGAAAACATAACACAAAAAGAGAAAAGACAACAGCAAATCAAAAAGCACAACAAAAAAAGGGGAAAAAAACAACGGCAAATTAAAAACACGACATTAACCATTGCTTTTTCTCTTTTTGTGCTGTTTTCTCTTTGGCCATTGTCTGATTTGTTTTTGTGTTTTCTGATTTGCCGTTGTGTTCTCATTTTTTGGGTTGTCTTCTTTTTGTGTTGTGTTTTCTCTTTTTGTGTTGTGTTTTCTGATTTGCCGTTGTGTTTTGCACCTCGGGGCCAACGTATTTTCCAGTTGAGGCTTTGAAAAACAAATTAATTGATCAGCTAAATATGAAGGTTTTTTTTTTTTTTTTAAAGATAGTAAATTTTGTTTATAAGCAGACATTGTAATATACACAGGCTCCATCATCTCACAAATAAAGAAAAAATCCTGGTGTTTTGTGACAAGCTAGACCTATCTGTTTGGTCAGAATGGCTATGTTTTAAAGCTCCTGTGACATGTTTTTTGTAGTTGTGACTCAGACTGAAGATTGTACTGTTTCAAGATTACTGGAGAGAAGATTTCTTTCAGTAATTTTTAAAATGTCCTCGCCATGAACAGGTTGCTGTCAGACCAGGCTATTAATTCCAAGCTGAACAGAAGTGCTCCTGTTTCCCCCTTTTTTGGCTCAAGGTTAAATTGAAGTCAGGGGTTTATTTCTAAAGCACAGTTAAACGCAACCTCGGTTGACCAAAGTGCTGCACAGGAGTGCAATATAATTATAATAAGACAGCAGGAGAACATGTTTGGCTCAGAATACTACCTCATCAGAATCTGATGCTTTTAAGTGATATCTTTTATTGCTGAACGATTTAACCAAAACTTCAGGTTGCAGTGCAGAGCATAGAGGAGCAGTTATTTATTAACAGGCCAGGGTGTCAAATGTAAACAAAAAAAGTTTTGATACCATAAATCTTCAGATATTACGAGGACAAGGTTAAACATTGCACAAAAAAAACCTAAACATGTTCTGAATGTGCACTCGCAAAGACTCCCTTTTTCCTGAGTGTGGAACCTGTTCTCTCAGTCTGGCATGCTATCGAGTACTGAGCCTCGAGCTATTCATGTTCAGCCCGCAACAATTCACTCTTTTTTTCCCTCACCAATTGCTCCCACGAGTGTCTGGAAAGTTGAGAGGAGGGTCCTGCTCCCTCACAAGCCAGACTGACCTGCTTTTTGTCCAGACAACTTCCAATAAGAAAGGGTCACTTTTCTTTCACTGGTGCCTTGCATTGCAGTCTTACATATGTGCTTACTTTGTTCCTCAGAGACACCGTGTTACTAGAAAGAGAAATAGTAGATTTAATCGTCCATGACATCAAATTTCATGTCTACTATCTATGTGTACATCAGCATAATAAATGTGTAAAATCAACTCTTTTGTCAGTTTGTCTATCCTCTTTCTTTGTGCACGTTCAAACGTTAGTAGAGTGGTTGGCAGACTGTAGATGAAAGCGAGTGGTAAAGTTAAACACATGTATTCACAGCCCTGTGGTTTTGCACTCAGATGTTTGTGTAATATATTCCTGCTTGCTGGACAAACCAAGGCTCTTGAGTGTACACTTTCCATTCTCCACTAGCCTACTTTTATTTTTATCAGTGAATAATCATTTAGAGCAAGGTCATTTTGATCTTCTATCTCAATAGGCCTCAATTAAATATTCATTCATTCTCATGTGGCCTCCTCGGCAGCTTCTTTGGTATGTGTGCTAAAGAGACAAAAGACTGTGCTTTTGATTATACAAGCTTGGGCTTTTTCAAAGAGATCGGGCGCCATTATGTAGAGTTAAACAATCTTTTCCACTAATCAACAGAGTTGTTGGTAAAGTGTTTACTTTGGCCAGGATTAGTGATTTTGTCCTTGAATCTTAAAACAAAAACCTTCAGTTATTCAGTTTGCAAAGCTTTACTGAGCAGTGGCTCAAAGGCTTGTGTTCCATGTGTCGTGCTGAACATCTACAACATGAATTTCAGCTATTTACCAGCAATTACGCCCCATTCCGTTCCCCACTAACATGAATTTAAAGCGGTACGTGTGTATTTGATCTAAGGTAACAGTATAAAATGGAAATTAATCTCAAATATTTAAGTCTCTGTAGCAGTGTTCACATGGTTTTGATAACTTGACTTTCATTAAATGCACAAATCTTTTTATTGAAAAAGATTTTCTGACAATCCCCTAAAATTAAGCGTTAAAGAAGATACTCATTTTCTAATTTAAGGAGCAACACATTCTCTACACAGAACACACGTCCATGTTTCCCCCATTACAGTCTATTAAACAAACAGTATAGTTGAATGTGACTCAGCAAAGAATGGGTCGATAAAGGTTGGTGGTGCAATCCTGACTCCCACTGAAAAATGCAGAAGTGTCCTTGAGCAAGCCACTAAACCCCAAATTGCTCCCATAGTGAGATATTCAGCAGTGTGGGAATGCGTGTGAATGGAACTGATGGCCCTGTTCAATAGCATCCTCTGTCATCAGTGAATGAATGTGGTGTGAATTTGACAAGCAGTCACAAAGTGTTGCCAGTTGTTAAACAGACTAGAAAAGCACCACGTAAGTCTAATGTGACAGTCATACCGAACAAAATAAAAGGACAAACATGAAATCTCAGTTCGTGTGAAAACTATTTACTGCTATTCAGTATTAAACAGGGAGAAGGGGTGTTAAATGTGGTTCATGTACTTTTGCAATAATCATTATAGCCAAGCACTGACATAAAATAAATAAATAAATGTAACACTTTATTTGACACGTATCTCTACAACACATTATATATATATATTTATAATGTGTTATAATCATGTTATAGCACTGTATAACTATAGTTATGAACACTTATAAATGAGCATAATGCTTTATAGTTA